AAAATACAACTTTGATTATATATACTATCCGCCAGGCTTGTTTTTTTAAGGATGTTAGGAATAACTATTAGGTAGAATTATAATGGTTCAGTTGAGGACAAAACAGGTGATTTTCGGCTCACACACGGTAAACAAAATGATTAACGAGTTTAGAACATTGGGTTGTGGTAAAGAGAGCTGAATTACTGACTGATAAACACATATTTGGTTCACAACTAGGATTAGTTATCATTTGCCTGATGCATATCACAACTCAATTTCAAAACTATTTATATTGTTTTTCCTTCATTCAATGCACCTACTGTTGATCATCTTTTTGTCGTAGTTCAGTCAACGGTTCAATTGTTTTAGCAATAACATGACAAAATCCATTTGAAGCTGACCTTCGAATTCTGAAAACTTGTTCCAAATGAGATATTTTGTTGTTTGAATGACAATTTAAACATATCCTGACCGTTATTGGCAATAACCTGCTGTCCTCGATCAGGCATCGCGTTGTGGAATTATAACAATTAGATCGGAAACATACTTTTATTTTGATTCATTTGAATAAAACAAGTAGCGCGAAATGAGCAGAATCAATTTCACGTGCTCTCAACCCGCTGTCTACGCACACAAAATAGGTGGTGGTGGTGGTGGAGCAGTGGTTTAGCCGCTGTCACTGGTGTGCTTTGGACTCTATGGTCCAGGGTTCGAGCCCCGCCACCGCCACCCAACTTCGGTGGTAGACAGGCTTGCTGTCGTTCGGTTCAATACCACACCTAACCTGGCGGGACGTTATATGATTCTCACTCCACTCCAAATCCCGGGGATTACCGGTTACCGGTTTCCATGACCGGGTAGCAGGTCTTCGTGACTATAGGGTTAGCCCCACAAATGTTATAAGAAGAATGGCATCTAAAAAATTTTACATAATCGCTTGGGTTCAAGCGGAAAAAGTTATTACCAAAGTCGTTTGCAGATGAATGAACGAGGAATAGGGAGGGATAGCTGGAGGATAGAGTTGAAAACAGTTATGTAATAACAGTTATGTAGTAACAAACACGAAAACAAGTCAGCTAGATAAGAAAATCAGAAATATATCAGAATGCATGTAGTACGATAACGGAATAGGAAAATTGATCGATCGAGTGGGTCAAAACAGTTAGGTTATATTATGTTTAAACGAATTTTTTTTATTTGACAAAGAATCGCCGAACACACTTTCAGTACTGATTAGTTTATCTATTCTTCCTTGGTTTGCTGACAGGTACACATTGGCCAGGAACACATGTGCACGTGTAATGAATTCAAAACGCGGCACGAACTGTGCGTGCATATCTGTTGGGTGATACTGAAACGTTTCAAGGTGGATCAGAATAATTCCGGTAGGTTGAGCGTGGGAGAACTCTCCCTGTGTATGTACACCTCCCGTTCTCGGTAGGAACGAGTTACAGTGCTTGTACCGGGCTCAATCTGATCATGTACATTGTCCACGTTCTGTTAAATTCATTTGCCGAACAGATTTAAGATCATGTGTTACAAAATGAACTCGTAAAGTTCTATTCTGATCGCATTCAAATTGAAGTTCACCAAACTATTCTGATTTACAACGTGACACATCAGAAAATGGTATTTGGAAGCTTTCATTATTCTGTCATTATTTGTGTGCCAATCATTTGTGTCAATTTATTATTTTGAGATATCTATGAAGATTATACAATTCGCCCACTTTGATTGAAAGTAAAGTGCCATAACAGGCCAGCGTAATATACCAATGTGTTTTAGTTCCCGACAAACAAAACTTAATTTAAAACTGTGATGTGAATGTATAATTTGGCATTTACGCAGCATTGTCATACAGGATTATTGCCCAGCTGGAAATGAGGTAAGTGGAAAGTACAGTTTGTCCTGGTGGGCCCCATAGACTCGACATCTGCATATCGGAATTCTACTTTGAATCGTATTCTTTGAAGTTTCCAAACTTGAAACGTCATCTTCTTGTAGGTGAAAGTTTTTTTCACTCTGGCCATTGCCACAAGGTGTTTCGTGTTTTATTTGTGCAAGTTCTCTGGATGATGAACCGTAACAAAACCGAACCTATAGCAGAGGGTTTCCTGAGTGTAGAGTTAACTGGATGAAATTAGGCTTGTACCCAAAGATGAAGTATGAAAAGTATGAAAAGTGGCCTAGCTGGATCAATTTCACTTATTTCGTACCACACTACTCACAAGTAACTGCGGACTGTATTTAAATCAAAGTGAATCTAACCCAATAGATCGAGGCAATTTTGTTCAAAATTACCAGAACGCACCATGGATGTATTCATTTGGTGCGAGGTTTGTAAATTGGGTAAACAGATGACAAACTGTGTTTCTCTTGTTTGCCGTCGAGCCAAATGAACTGACTGCATATCATTGAAGAGGACATTTGAGCCAAACCGAATTGGTAGTTCCAGTGAGCGCTGGTTGACAAAGTGAGAAGTCTAGAGTTCACGTTTTTGGATGGGTCGATGCATATGGATTATGGATGAATACTGATACGAGTGAAACTTGAGTTTAGTGCTTCCGAATATGTCTATCTGACTATATATATTTATATTTATATGTATATATATATATATATATATATATATAATGAAATATGTGTATATTTGCATTTCGTGTGGAGCATTAAAATGCCTAAGTTCAGGTTGAAAACACAAGCTTCTTCCTCTAGAGCTACACACTCCATACTCATCACATTGAGTGCAGGGGATTCTAACCTAAAGGTCTACATATATTTTGGATTTTCAAAGCAGAGGGGACCTGTGTACTGTAGACGAGTCCTAAATTGTTAATTGTTGTTAAATTGTTAATTAAATTGTTAATTTTCTGGCACTTATTTTATAATTAACAAGATTATAATTGTGATAAATTAACAAAATCCCCAAACGGTGAGATTCAAATGCTGTACGCGAAGAAGAAAGTTAACCAATCTTGAATCCGTATTTGACTGCACAGTGGTCAAACCAGGAATATCAGTCCGCGTTCGATTTATGGGTTTCATCCCAATACCCTTTGCTAAATACAGACTCATTATAAAACGAATGCTATTTTATGAATGAGGCTAATTTTAGATCACAGTAACTGCAGTTTACACCAAACGCTGAATGTGGATGAAGTGCTTTCCCACCAGCACTGTGACTCAGTTCAATATCCCGTAGTATTTTATGTGCATGAAAGAAAAGTGTAATGACTGTGGTAGTAGTGACATTAGTACACACTGAACTTGGAATATGAACCACACACTACGAATCACGGAATACGAATCAAGGATTAGTAATCACGGACTGAATCACGTAAGCACTGGACCACACTGGTACTGGCACGCAAAATCCCACATAACTGAGACGCTAAGAAAAGACCACAGGGGTAGTAGTTCATTTACTGAGAGAAGTAAAAGGGATTACATAATATGTAAGTGCATTGGTTATTCGGGCTTCTACTAATCGATTTCTAGTAGTGCTTGCATCTTTCTGCTTCTGTCTGAGCCGCACGACCTCTGATTGGCTGGTACAATCTAACTATGGTATGTAGTCAGAAGCAGTGACACGTACGCGCGTTGTTGACGTCACTCATGAAGTTTGGTTGATCGCAGTTGTCCAAAAATTGTAATACGTCTCTCCAGGGTACGCGTCATCTCGTAGGCCCGGATCACCACAAAACGTCGGCAGTAGCCTTTAAGAATACCCCTCACCGCAGCGTTTTGGGAATGGTATTTGGTAACTTACTACTTCAACACAATTTTCCCTTTGTGTCCGTCACCTATATATTCGGGAGTGCCAGACTGTGGCTCATTTTTGCTATCATTGTGGTCTATCAGCAGCGTGTATCCACCAGAAATCTGCGGATTTCAACTCACCTGATAGAGGACGTCTGCAGTCTGACCACGATTACAATCAACTCGCATTAGAGCTAATCAGAACCGACTATTTAAGTTTTTCACATGTGGTTTTCCAATAGAACCAGCCATTTAGCCCGCCCCGAAACAGAACAGTCTATAGCGGAGCACTGGTGTTAGCTGCGTGGT